CGCGTCGACCCTTGGAAGCAAACCCCCATCATCGCACGCCGCCGGCGAAGTCGCACCGCGCGCGGCGGGGGAACTAAAAGCAATCCTGGTTGTGCAGGTGCTCATTGTGATGTATCCTAACCGATCTTACACCATCGCCAAGACTGTATGCGAGCTGTCAGTACGCTCAAATATAAGATCGAGTTCTGTCATGATCGGCCGGAGCTCCACTACTCTCTCCTTTGCAGCCGGTAAATCTGGTCTCAGATCTCAGTGCTCACCCATCCAGAGAAATCCCATATGTTGACATCTAACGTAGCAGTTGACAATCTCTCATGTATCTACACTCGTGCCGTGTCATCTTCAGAGCCATTCCATCGCAGTCGACGACAACGAACTCTGTGCCCGTTTTTCCAGTCTTGACGTTGACATGTTTTATCACAGTATTTCTAGGTTCCACTATGTCAGCGCCGCCTGGGTACGATATATCGTTCGCAGCATTGACTCACCGAGTCTCCACAGCCTTTGCAAGACAGTAGTACCGCCGTGGAAGGTATGTAATGATAATTGCAACCGTTCCAGGCGCAGAATTGTACGACAGGCTCAGGACCGCCATTGGGCTCTGACTGCCGTGCGGTACTCTCACGATAACCCAACGTCTCCCCAATTGACTGCCAGGTCTGAAGCAATGTGTCGTGGTGGCTCCCATGCTGTGAGGTATCGCGAGTCTGACGCAGAAACTCTAGCGTCGGTTGCCATTGACGACGGAAAAAGGAACGCATGCTCTTTCGCGTTGCGCTCCGGGGACTGAGTCCATTGATAATTTGAGCACAGGCGAGGACGACATGAAGGGTTTCCAAACAATCCTCTATATGCGCCCATTCAGGGTGTTGTCGACGCTTCATAGATGTATGTGCTCACCATGCATTCGTGCTTCCAGCACACAAGCGCGGATCGCATCAACTTGGAATTCCAAGAGGCATCCGTCTTTCATAAGCATGAGGTCCATCGGCTTTCCGTCCGCACCGAACCCCTTCCTCTCAATGAGATGGCTACGCGTTGGAAAATCAGTGTATGCCGACTTCAGTAAGAAACGCATCTTACGTGTAAAGCGATAAGATCTCAATGAGTGCGTGGCTCTGCGAGCGCTGATGGCCCTTCTCAGCTTGCCGTTTGATGGCCCCGACCATGGCTGGAATCAGACCAGATGATACTATAATCTTGGAGAGTTCTGGTCGACAGCTCATAGATAAACATGTCATCGACATCGTAGCGTGCAAGCACTCGTTGAGAAGCGTTGGATTCCGCAAGGCTCGCGCTAGTCGTTCCACGTATGCCTCTGCTCCAAAGTTCGGTAACACCTGCTGCTCCACGAAGTTAAGCAGCTCTACGGCAGGCTCAACGCCGACACTATCGACATCGGAATCGCCAATGAGAGCTTGATGGAGCAGAGCAACAGAGAAGTCTGTTCGAAAGCTCGCATCATTCAGGGGGTCGTCCAGATCAGGGTTATACAGCCAACACATAAACGATGTCAAGCGTATATCAAGTCGCGAATTGAACGGGTCACTGGGTAAGACGTTGAGCCATTGTAGACCACGGATCGAGTGAGGTTATAGCTCACATTACGGGTATGACAAGTGCGATAACAGTAGACAGAAGCGCGTGGCGAATCTCTGTGTATTGTGAGCCCGGTGCCTCATTGGCAAACAGCGACCGTCGGCTCCACGCCCCTCGACAAAGAGTGGAAACAATCTCGTGAGAGGATGCGAGTATATTTGGCTCGGTCTTCGCAGCAAAGATCACATGGAAGGTAATGGTCAGCACAGAGACAACAAAATCCTAACGTCCATGCATCAGCGCCATTCAGATATATCAACGCGATCACGAACCGGGAGTTCCTCGTAGAAGTTCTCCTGTGATAGAATCGAGTTGAGGAGAGGATAGAGATCAAGATCTTCCAAGAGACGACGGAAGGGCTGACAACTCGGCGTGGAATTGGCGAGTGATGCTTCTGTCACTGCTGCGACAGCGGCTGTATACATGACTAGCTTGTGCTCCAGCTGGGGATCTGATCGTTGGCGGCGCTGGAGGAAAGAGTTTCGCCATTGCACTGCAGCCTCTCGAGGTTTGAACGATACCAAGGCTAGAAATCCAAGCTCTGCAGCACGGTCTACGAATGTATGGCCTCGAGAAACAAAACTGAGGGATTCTGCGAAACCATAGGGTCGTGTGAAGGTCCGTGGCAAGCCTCGAAAGCCAGCGGAGCTTATGGTTATGCGAGACATGATACGCCGGTCTGGTGGAAGAAAGGGTGAGAGGACGACTGGATATCCAACTAGCTGTATATAACCGCACTGAAGGATGGATGCTCCTTTGTCTGCCTGTACACGCCCAATGCACGAGAGTAGGTGCCACCGGATGATCGGGCGGGAAATCAGATCCCGAGAACAAAGCAGCGAGCGGACCCATCGCCCTATGGTGAACGGCCGATAAACCTGAAGGGGAAGCTTCAGCGCTGACTATTGAATCCTCGTGAAGGCGTACGCGTGGATGACTTCTACGATTAATTCCGGCGTATTGATTTTCCCCGACGTTTCGAGTGTCGGGAACGTGGATGGTGTAGCGAAAGATCTACCGTTGTTGAGAACGTGCGGTATAAGGATAGCTTATTCACAAGCCTTCGTCTAGATGGCGGTTGAGTATGAATGGTGAGATTGGGCGTCGATAAGGCAAGCGGCGGCGATCGCCGACGGCGCCTGATTGTCGTCGTCAATGTACAATTCCGGATTCACTGGCTAGCGGATTCTTCACGCCGGTTGCAACGTGTTCACTTAACCAGTAAGACCTGTAAGGCATGTCATCAACGTACTGTGATCATAGGAGTTGTCAATACCTTTTCGGTCAACCCAGCCAAGGGAGGGGAGAGCCAAGAAGAGAAGGCGCTCTTTCGAGCGCCCAGATCTTCGATCCGGAAGAAGACGCAGGGCAGGTGCGTCTCGCGCGCCTTCGGCACGCTCGATACTGGTCGACGGGGTAGGTAAAGCAGTACCAGCTACTAATTCGTGGGTTGGGGTTGGTTCGAGCTGGCGCTTGGCTGGCGGGGCCCGAAACGCGGTCAGCTGACCTTTTGACCTCGCCGCACGAACCTCTCCCGCATTTCGGGTGATGTGCGCGCGCGTTGGACACACCGACTCAGACTGCCTCGCGAGGCAGAGCCGAGTGACCGAGCTCTCAGCATTAACTAGTCGAGCAACGACCCGCCAAGCGTGGAAACAGAAAGCGAGGTGGGTGGGACAAAAAGAAACTGGGGGGCGGATGCACACGCGCTCTGCTTTCCCCGAGGTCGCGTCAATTTTTCGTTGTAGCTTCGTGCTAGCAGAAATAATCCTGACAGTCCTACTGTGACGTCGCGGCCTCTCGCAGCCACTTTCCCTTGGCCTCCCGGAAGCGGACACTCGTTCCTCGCTTCCGCGGTCGTACAGCTACGGCCGACCCATGACCTTGCCCTCAGTGCGATTAACCGTTATAAGCACACCCTTAAGTTCTCGCTCCTCTCGGCCCATATTCGGCTTCATGTTCATGTAGCTCACGAACACCCATCTCTCGTACGACCCACGTATCTGCCATCTTCCTTTGTTAGCGTTATGTGGTTTACGTCTAACCAAATCCTTGCATTTACTCATGTTTCTGGTCATAACGCACTAATGACGTTGGGCTGGCTGGATATTGTGAGTGGCGATCAATACTACTGTAGGGGGTGTATAGCACGGCCTTACTCTCCTAAAGTACGCTGAGGGATGAGTAAACAGCCCACGTAACTGGCTCCCTGCTACGAAAGCATTCTGTTTCCGGCTTACTTCCCAGCGCAAGCACCGGAGCGATGACACATCGAACAAGTGTCGATCAAGACTACTAGTACACAATATTACGCAGTGCGGGGTACATGGACAAATCTCGATCATTCGCCAACCCTAGTCTCAGCATGAATACCGCGCCGCCTCTGGGACAGAGGTACACGCCGCGCCCTCCTGTACCAGGGCTGCTTCGGCTCGTAGCTGACGGGGCTCAAGTCATAGTCTTCTTCTGAGATCTGTAACTCGGCGATTTCGTGAGAGTCTAGTGTCTGAAGCCAAGTCTTCCCCACGGGACGATCAGCCAAGAAGCGATATATCAAGAGAGAGACTAACCGGATTGTAACAAATGCGAGGCAATCCGCTCGGCGCCACTGCTGCACGGTTGACCCTGTTCGATAGCGCACGATAACGTGGATTAGCGCCCGGCTTTTGTCGAGTACCCACTCTCGGGCGACTGAGATCGGTCACAATCGGATCGAGCGAATGGTGGAACGCTTGGAACTCCGGGCTGCGCCATTCGGGGGAGATGCGTTCGGTCTTGTCCTGCAACTGTCCAGTTGCATCATGGACGAGCTCATCTGAGGACTCGTCCGAGCTGACGCTCTGAGCACCGGCGGTGTTCATCAAAGCGAGATGCTGGGCAGCCTTCCTTCGGACGGCATCGACCCTCTTCCGAAAAAGCTGAGCCGCAGAATGAGTTTCAGACATGCCAGTGTTTCACTGTGAACGTACCCGATACTTCCGAGAGCTCCGAGAAGCCGCAGCCAGACGATCGTCCACGTCTTCAGGAGTCTCGGGATTGACGAATGTGCGAAAGAATATGGACTTCGCGCTCCTGCAGTGGTTGTATATGGCCGTCAAGATGTGTTTCCTGTGTAGGAAGAGCTCGGGCAGTGGAGCAGGGTTCCGATACCAGCCAGCGGCTACGCGGTTCTGAAACGAGTCGACGAATACGTTCAAGGCATGCATGTTGAATGGATGGGACCTCGTGAGCCTGAAGTCAAAGCGGAAGGCTTCCGGTGTAACCTCGATGCGCCCAGGTAGTCTTCCGCAGAAGTCGTCCAACTCTTGTTGCGTCAAAGAGCGGCAGCATAAAGCTTGTGGGTCGAGACTCTTCAAGTTATCGACGCCCAGCAGCTCCTTGAATTCCGCTCTGACGCAAGTCTGTGAGGGTGGATGAGAGGGTCAGCGTGTCCCCGCAAGGAGCAATAGCATCCGTAAGCTGATACGTACTAGAAAATGTGAGTAGAGTGGATGGTCGGCCACTTCTGGGTCTACTTTCATCGTCGGCGGCGGCACCACGCGTCCATCCCGACCGGTACGTGTACGCTTCTGACGCTTGCGAGGAGCATCCGAAGTGGGTTCAGGTTGCCTACGGGCGTCCAGCCTCTCCAAAAGGGCTGTGTCCCGTTCGTCCAAGGTACGCTTGAGACTTTTCTGATTAGACTGCACGATGCGCAAGAGATCTGCTAGTAAGAGCGGCACATCTGGAAAAGAACGAGTATCTTGAGCGCCAGGTACGATATATCTTGACATGACGCGTACCGTTATCAGGCTTCTCGCCGCCACCGGTCGGAGAGTCATCGTTCATCGATCGACCATTCGCATCAGAAGCCCGTCCTTCAGGATGGGAAGGAAGACCAGTTGACATAGACGAAGTGGATGGCCCTGGACGGGGAACATCTGGCACGACATCCAGCATTGGGTGCCCACTGTTCGCAGGTGATGGAGGGGTGTCCTTGGGTATGCGAGATTGGAGCGGTGGGCCTATGTGGGTTGGAGGCGTCGGCTGGGATGGGTGTGCACGTCGGCCGTCATGACATGGTTGTTGACCACTTCCCATGTCTGCAGCACGCTCTTTGCCCTTAGCTGTTTCTCTGACCACAGCCGGGATAGAAGACGCGACTCCAAGCCTCGCTCCTGCGGCGAATGTCGACGATGCGGGCCACGATGGCAGACTCGCAGCCACTGACATGGAGTGTCCCTGAGGACGCAAGATATTGAAGATACTGAGAGGACGCAGCTCGGACTGCCGGGGCTGTCCGTAGAGAACGGGCTGGAATGAAGGATCTAAGCCTACGCAGCCCGCTTCGCTTTCAGTGACGGTGGTATATTGCAACTCGACGAGATTACGCACCTGTATGTATGTGCTGCGCTTGTGAACTGCCAGTATTTGCACCATGTGTCGCACCACCTATCCAGTGCTCGTCAGCATCGAACATAAGCAATCGCACTAGCTACGACGAGACGCGCACCGTGATCGGGACGTGTCATCTCAGAACTTGGTGACATCTCGACGTCTTCATTGTGAGAAGCCAATCGTGCTCCAAACGTGTCCGACTTGGTCGCGCCGCCGTTCTTGAGGTGGGGATTGAAGGCCTTGACTTCTGCTCCTGTTTCAGTACGGGGACGTGGATTGGTTCCGGAACGACTCACCGAAGCCCGAATGCTCTTGTCCTAGATCCACGTCCATTACTTCGGCGGGGCCGACAGCATCAACGGTGTTGTAGGCAACGGCAGAGCTCGTGGCGTGAAGCGAGCCGAACGGGATAGGCGAAGTAGAGGGCACCAGTGGAGTGGAGATAGGCATCAAGCCAGAGACAACATGTTGAGCAGGTGAGGTCGCAACCATATCGTGAACAACAGTGGAGGCCGTGCTTGACGATGTCAAGGACTCTGGATTCCTCTGCTCGATCAAGGTGCCGAGTCTTTGAGCGTGAGCCCGCGAAAAGCCAAGTGTCGTGGAGACAAGCGGCGTTGCACAGCTGCCAGATCGCGAATCCTGTAGCATTCCCGCGACGGAAGTAGATGAGAATGGTTGATAGGATGCCATTTGAGATGAGGGTTGAGGGAAGTTCGGGCGAGGATTGCGAATTGACGATTCTGAGGGGTAGGGTGGGGTGTCGTCCGACGAAGATAACGACGAGGCCTGCTCAGGCGGCCAGGCACCACCGTTCACCGGAGATGAGCGCTGGCCGAAGTGCCCAACTTGCGTGGGATCGGCACATTCTCCTAGAGCAGGCAGTTGCTCAGTCTCATTTGTGCGAGCAGCGTTGCTATCCTGACAGCGTATCTCCACGGCATTGGCTGTGGAGCCCGATGCTGGTGTTGGTTTGGCTGGTGGAGTCCCGGGAACGGCCCCCTGAACTGCTGCAGCGTCCTCTGTCGTCGGCGATGTGACGACGGGGGAGAGCGTGGAACCGAGCAATGTCGTAGGCGCGGTCAAGTCTGAGGCCGCGGGCTGCATAGCCACCACTTCCTGGAGGGCATCCTCTGTTGTAGCGTCGGCAGTCATGGATCCAGCCTCGGCGGACCCTGCCGTGGTGTACGGTGCCGTTTGCGTCTCGATGGTAAGAATGGGGGCGGGCGCAGGACAAGGGGCTGTTGTAGTGTCGGGTTCGGCAGTAGAGATGGAAAGCGCTTGCCCGGTCTCTTCTTCTTGACTGGTCGTCGTCGTCGCGTCAACGTCGCAGATGGAAGACACGGGTTCCATAGCTGCTAAGGCATCCGACGTCGCGGTCGTTGGGATGAGGACAGGGGACAGCGCGAGACCAGAGATTTCCGCGACAGGTTCCTCCGTCGAGGCTGAGACGGCGGTGGACGTGGCTACGACCTCTTCGGATGCCTGTCCTGTTGCAGCATCTGTGGCCAGAGGTCCAGCCTCAGACGCTGTGTCGGTATGCGACGCCGTCCCCGTCGTAGCAAAGATAGGAATGAGCGCAGAATCGGGAGCCACTCCAGTTGTAGGCTCGGCCGTCGGACCAGTCATCGATGTGACGTCAACGTCGTCTTCTGGGAGTGTAGGTTTGGACACTGCTCCGACGTTGGACACGGTCGGCGTCACGTCGATGAGCGAAGCGCGCTCCGCAGGGACAGCTGCCGGATCTTGTAATGAAGCTGTCGCGTCGGTGATGATGAGTGAGCGCGAAGACTGCGTTGTGATTTGGGTTGGGGCTCCAGGCACGGTCGTTGCTATAGCGGGCGAAGACGTCGGCGCAACCAACATTTGTTCGTCCTCAGAGGCCAGCGCGGTCTGCGAATCTTGTACTTCGTTTCGAGGTGGAATCGTTGACGTGATTTCCTGAGACACATGTACCGCACTGCCCGACGTGGAGCCGACTGCATTGTTGGTCTCGGTGGTAACTGGTCGAAGTCGTTTTCTGAGATGTGGAGGGAGTACGCGGGGCCTGTCGGTCAAGGGAATAGACGGGAGGTCTGAAATGAGCGTCGATGTCAGCCCACTGAGCGACGAACGGAGAAATAGCAGGAAACTGACCTGAACGTTCATCCTCGATCGATTGCGACTCCGGTTCCGGTTCACGCTCACGACCTTCAATCGCCAACCGATCTTCCCATTGCCCTGTCTACAAAGTTGTGAGCGAGCAGAGTACGTGCGAACCCGGGTAAAGGCGCTCACCGGATTGTGAAACTGTCGAGTCGAATCTGGTCGTCCATCAGGTACTTTGCGCTTGCCCAGAGATATAGGCGGTTTCAAGTCCGAGTCGTGCGCGTCCATACTGGCCGTATTGAAGTAGAGCAGCAAGCCCAGTGCTGGTAGATATAGCTGGCAGCGGACAAAGCGTAAAGAGACGGCAGGTTGTTTCATCCAAAGTTGCCACAATGGCATGTCAAACGTCGCGGGACGGTACGGACGACCCTTTGGGGATCATGTGAATCTGCTACGGGGCACGATTCTCTTCTCGCTACTGATTCGATCGGCGAGGTCGCGCAAAAGGGGGGTCACAGTCGTAAAGGTATCGTCGCACAGCCGACTTCGCGGAAACATAGAGGACCGTTCCCCGCGTCAAAGTTCGCCTGGCATGAGGGTACAGAGCTAGACGTCCATAGCGGTCACAGACCCAGTGAATAGGCGGAATGGCAACAGTTTATGCATTCCTGGGAGCAAAAGTATGTAGCCAGCTCATCAAGGTAGAAGCCAAGGGTACGACCAGAAGGCGTTCCAAACTGACCCAGCCACGTGTCAGATCCTTTCCCTTTTGGGTAAGTCCTCTCGACACGTGCCTTCGCGCCCGCTGTCCGCAACTTGCTTCCAACCGCGACGGCGCGCGCGTGCGCTTCAGCCAATAAACCGCACGTTTGTGCGGCTTCGCGACAAAAGGCGCTTTGTGGAAAAGACGGCTATGCACCCAGTCTACGCATAGGGCTGCCATTCCTCCACGGTCTATGAACGGCGGTGCTTCGATCGCGTTATCGACTGCTCAGAAAGAGACCCATGTTCCGAATACTTACCATTCAAGGCAATGGGGAAGCCATCCCCGGTCAAACGGAGAAGACTACTCCTCAACAATCTTTCTCGGCGAGTGCTCATCGCCACAAGTCGCAATATCTGCTCGACTCTTGGACAGCGGAGCTGGCTCGAACAGGCAGAAGAAGCACATTGCTAGAAGCAGATCGTGCTCAATGTTTCCCCATGATTATTGCTCTCGGGCTGTCAATGCCGTAGAAAGCACGTGGCATCCACTTTGCGATACATCCATGTAGACAGCGTGTTGTTCAAATAAGTACATTACACCCCCAGACCCACTCAATGTTCATATCCGAAGGAATCTTCCAACTGAGGGAATCATGAGCGCAATCATCGACATATCAAGCTTTTCTCCCCGAGCGAGCCTATACTCGAGGCATTCAGTCATGATCGAGAACACCAAGATGACAGGTAGTTCACCTTGTGTCTTCCTATGTAGGTACTGATCGTTTTCCGGAGCACCCAGCGGCCCCAGCCATCAGATGACACGTGCAACACGTATTCGTCGTACTGGGGGTGATTGGTTCCACTCTCAGCAGAAATCCAGTTCCCCGCACTTCCCATGTACCAGAGCTTGTGCGCGTCGCCCTGCCTATGTAGATAGACATCACCAACTCTCGTCTGCGCGTCAAGTGGGGGATGCTGCAGAGTATAGAGTCCTGCGGACTTCAGACAAGTCATTTCCACGTTGCGTTTGCGTAGCTTGTGCTTGCAGGTCATGGTGACGACCGTCTGGGACGGATCCGGTGTACCTGGAGCCACTCTAGACCATGAATGGTCATCAGCTAGGATCGCATGAAGGTGTAAAGGGCTGACTCTGGCGACACGCTCTGCGTACGATTACGCCCGGATGGCTCTGCACTATCGAATTGACGGGTGAGCGCGAGGGAAGCCGCGGAGGCTGCGTCTTCGGAGTTGGGCTCCCCCGTCTTTGATGGCCTAACATCGCCCCTGGATGACAAATCATATATATGATATATCTTCATTCGTTCTCAAGAAGCAACACAAAGACTCACAGGTCTCTTTGCTCGCCAAACTCGTCGCGGGCAAGTTGAAATCCCAATCGAAGAGACCAGCTCTATAAACAGTCTTAGCTGACACGAGGATCTAGCCTCCATCACCGAACATACACACCTGTTTGTTGACAACGAACACGCGAACATCAGCATTGGCTGCTTGGTGATGTTGTAAATCCGTGTAACTAAGACGCCACGGTGGGACAGTCTAATTTCTGTTAGCCAAAGACTTCCAGAAGCCTCGATGAAAGGAGCTCGCATCGATTTCTGCCCTGACGCAAGGCCGCCACGGATTGCCGCGTTCATACGGAGCACGGGCTCGCTGGGCCGAAGGCAGATGCACGATCTTCATGGTGGTAAGAAGCAGCGTCCGAGAGACCGCCTTGAACACAAAGGAGCATTGAACAAAGGCGGCATCGCCCGGATGATCGGACAATTCGCTCAGCCAAATCAATCAATCAGGCATCTGGCCTCTGACCACAGGAGCCGGAGACCTTTCAACCAAGGGAGAGTGATTGGATACTCTATTGTAGACCCACAACGCGATGCATGGGGCATTCGATATTTTCACGGTCCCCGCAGACTTTACTGCGCCGTGGAAGAGACACCAACGCCACTGCACCTTGATCACAAAACGTCTCGTATGCCGCAGAGCACACAAGCTCCGCCTTGCTCGAGATTGGGATACCCATTGACAGTTGCGAGCAAGGTCGTGTACCTCACACGCGCGCATAATGAGCGGCTAAACCCATTCGCACGTGGCGCATAACTGCCTGCAATGGTAAATGCGTTTCGCAAGCCCCGCGACGCGAGCCATGCATGACGCACGCTGCCATGTCGGATAGTTGCCTGATTGGGTAACCTCACCCCCGCGCCGCGCGGGCATCCGCTACTTCTGCCGCAAACCACCATTACTCAACTGGCCGGGTTGTTATGCGCATGCACACATCCTCACTGCTGTTTGTGCATACAGGCCACTGTCGTTTGACACTGCACTTCCCACCACCAGCCACTCAGAGCGCCGGCTAAAATTACACGTCGCCTTGCATGTATCGCGTAGCCAGCGGTAATGCCCATGGCTTGAGCAGATACGATAACCCATTGTCTACGCGGTCGATTGTTCTTTCCGGCTGGATGGGTCTTTCATCCGCGTTTTCTTTGCGGTATGCCACTGCTCTCGCGCACATAAAGCACATCGGCGCCTTCGTCACCTCAACGACCGCACTGCGTTCCTAGTCGCCCACCCTCTCGAACGCAACGATGGAGCAGTACAGGAAAGCCTTTCAATTCTCAACGACGACGCTCAAGAGACCGGTCAACTGCCTGGCTCTCACGCCAGATGGCCGTCTACTCGCAATATGCTGTGGGTACACCAACTTTCGCGTTTGCGAACGACTAACTGAGATCTGCCCCAGCCGATGACCACCTGGTGCATATCGTCTCCTTGGCCTCCAACGGTACGACACACACGGCAGTGCCAACACACGGCGGACCCATGGCCACTGCACAATGGCTCGTTGATAGCCGTGGCGGCTATTGGCTTGTAGCAGCCGGTCACCGAGGCTTTGTGCGCATTGTCTACGTCAAGTTATCGGGATGCAAGGTTCGCCAAGTACGCCGTATGAGGCGATCACATACTGATGCAGTGGTTGCTCGTAGC